GCCACCATCAAGGCAGTTAAACCTTTTGATTGGTATCCCTCATCCTAACCCTGCTTGGGTGTCAGTGTCCAGAGGTTGGATTTTGTATTTAGAGCTGAACCAATTTACATGATGTACTCACGCACGTAGTGGGCCACCATCAAGGCAGTTAAACCTTTTGATTGGTATCCCTCATCCTAACCCTGCTTGGGTGTCAGTGTCCAGAGGTTGGATTTTGTATTTAGAGCTGAACCAATTTACATGATGTACTCACGCACGTAGTGGGCCACCATCAAGGCAGTTAAACCCTTTGATTGGGATCCCTCATCCTAACCCTGCTTGGGTGTCAGTGTCCAGAGGTTGGATTTTGTATTTAGAGCTGAACCAATTGACATGATGTACTCTCACATGTAGTGTGCCACCATCAAGGCAGTTAAACCTTTGATTGAGATCCCTCATCCTAACCCTGCTTAAGTGTCAGTGTCCAGAGGCTAAATTTTGTATTTAGAGCTGAACCAATCAACATAAGTCCTCGCACGTATTCAGGGTGTCCTCGCTCACTTACTGAATTCTTTTCAGGTGCACTTCCCTGTGTAGTGGGTGCACTTGATCATTGCTCCATTTTCTCCTCTTATGCTCCTCCCAATGTCTTTATGCTAGGGATGGTACTGCGTTTGGGGTGGTTCTGGTATGTTTGATTTGAGAAGGATTTATCTGTATTTCATTCTGATCACATGTGCCCTGTTCACCAATTAGTGGTGATAATTGTCCTTCTGGTTGACTGAATGTGAGATGAAGACAGTATGATCCTCTTTCTTACTCCTGCATGGATGTCAGCACCCTGGCGATTGAGTTGTGGATTTAAATTGTCTTACTGATGGTATGATCCTTGTTCTACCCCTGTGTGGATGCCAGTTCCTGGCGGTAAAGTTTCGGATGCATTTGACTTGCCATGTATGGTCAGTCGTGCCTTAGCCACTCTACACTTTGTGGCACATCCCTACTTTTACCCACAATGAGGTGTGCTCCTTGTTTTTCCCTGTTACACATTCTCACGTTTTACATGTGTGGGCAAAGAGTATACCTGGTACAGAAGTGGTGCTGTCTTCCACTTATCATCCTCTTCTTTGAGGGTTCCCTCTTGGATGATGTGCTTCAGATGCTCTCTTTTCTTCCTTGCACCCTTCCCTCCACCTATTCAATGTTGGATTCTAGCTATGTATGTGAGTGGAAGTAAGGTACCTTGTTGGAAGTTATAATTTTCCTACACTATTTCTGACAGGTACTTACTTCCACTCACACTTCCCACCCTTCCCTCCACCTATTCAGTGTTGGATTCTAGCTATGTATGTGAGTGGAAGTAAGGTACCTTGTTGGAAGTTATAATTTTCCTACACTATTTCTGACAGGTACTTACTTCCACTCACACTTCCCACCCTTCCCTCTGCACTATCTACCGGTGCTTAGTTTTCTGCCTAAAATCGAAGTGATAGTTAGGTTGAATAACATAGAGGGAGTCATGTGTGTGTGAGGCACACCTATTAGTGCAGGTTTGTCGCATGATAATTTACATGCATGAATCAGTTCAACCATGTGAACCAAGAGGGTAAGCAGGAATAAAGTGTTTGTGGTATGCAAAAAAAATTTAGCAAGTAGAGGGCAGTACTGAATGAAAATAGCTGTGTACATGAGTGGAAGTATGTTATGTACATATCCTATATATATATATATATTTTCAGTGTAGGAAAGCTATAAGAAATTTTTCATGTGGAGGATATGAAACAAAATAATTTTTTTAGCTTTTATATATACATTTGAATAACCAAAAAGTCATAAATTACTATAATGATACCATGGAATTTCATTATAGATTTATCAAGCTTAGTAACTAAGATCTATTTGTGTCTAAAAAAAATATGAAATTTTGAGCAGACTAAGGACACAACCTACCTCCTTGAAATCTTGTTTTGAAAGTATGAGATGGTGTCCTAGCATATGAGAATGGCTGAGAAAGCCACTAGGGGGACATTCTGAGCTTTAAATTGGTTATTCACGTCATAGACAGAAGTAAGTGTATATAAGGGACCATTTCCAAAAATGGAAAGAGGAGAGCGGGGCCACTGTGCTTGATTCAGTACATGAGTGATAACACAGCAAATAGAAAAGATACGAGGTTCTTATTTTATATTCTAGCTTGTCAATATCGGTAATTTGAGTTCCTAATTCGAATGTAACTATAGACTTGAATTCGAACCAGTGCTGCATTTAACATATCACATGACACACAAAAATCAATGTTTAACTCTGCTCTGTTTTTTTAATATTTACTTTTAAATTAATAAATTGAGTAATGTATAATACTAAAATTTCCATTATAATCTACAGTTTGATACAAACATATTGACATGGCCTATGACCTGTGACCCGTAGCGATAGGGTTAAAAGAACACTAGATAGTTGAAAGAAAGCTAACTACAAGGGGTAATGATAACACTAGAATTATGGCATTTTTTAGCTTGTGTAAAATATGAAAGATACAAATTGACTTTTTCATACCCTAATGATCTTTACAGTACCTTACTTGGTATTCTACAAAAGACTTGGGTGCAATATATGAAACATTTTGTTGTAGGCTGGCAAGAGAATGATGATAATAATAATAATTACAAATGGGCCATTTGAATAGATTTTTTTCCCTTTTAAGTCTAACATTCGTACTTGTGAATTTTTATTTTACAGCCTTAGCAGCCAATAGTAAAGGTTTTCTGAGATATTTCAATGGTAGTCACTACCATCAATGTTCTACATCTCAGAAATCAGTGTGTAGAATATTGATGGTAGTGTCTACCATTGAAGCCTCTCAGAGACCAGTGTGTAGAACATTGATGGTAGTGACTACCATTGAAACCTCTCGGAGACCAGTTTGTAGAACATTGATGGTAGTGACTACCATTGAAACCTCTCGGAGACCAGTTTGTAGAACATTGATGGTAGTGACTACCATTGAAACCTCTCGGAGACCAGTGTGTAGAACATTTATGGTAGTGACTACCATTGAAACCTCTCGGAGACCAGTGTGTAGAACATTTATGGTAGTGACTACCATTGAAACCTCTCGGAGACCAGTGTGTAGAACATTGATGGTAGTGACTACCATTGAAACCTCTCGGAGACCAGTGTGTA